GATATTTATTGGTGACTGAGTATTTGCAGCCCTGCCTATATGGCGCCCATTTTACCATCATCTGCAATAGTTTCATGATATGCTGGGTAAAGCAGATGAAGGACTCAGATGGCTAATTAGAAATATGGGCATTAAGATCACAGAACTATGCTTTACCTTTGTCCATTCCGCACAGAAGCAAATTATTAAAAAGCTGATGATCTCTTCAGATGCTGGTCTGGCCACCATATCCCCCAAATAAGAACAACTAAATGGTCTAATTAGCTGACATGAGCTATGGGAGTTGGAAACATCTGAGATCCTAACCAAACTTTGAAAAATGACCCAGGAAACCCAAATTGAGGAGAGAATGCTGTATAAAAAATCAAAAATAAATTGCTCCCTTATATCTGCCCTTATATCTGAACTGATGTTATTCTTTTAAAGACACATGACCTTGGGCATGGAACAGTGAAAAAGAATCATGAATGGCTAAAGAAGAGATTCCACTATGATTGGATGGTTATGCTGTCAGGATTACTACCCAAATGGCGGATTTGGATATGTCAAACAATGGGAATTGATCCTGAACTGACCACAAAGCCCAAACTTTTGTCAGGTAGAATCCTTAAAAAATGTTAATAGCTATCAAGGTTGGCAATCAATCCTTATTTGACCCAAAAGCCCGCACTTTTGTTGGGAATCATCTCTGACAAAAGTTGACTATAATCAAAATTAGCGATCAACCTTGACTGATATGACAGAATCATGCTCCCTCAGAGCCACCCAATTTCAGGGTTCAAACCTGAGCTATGAGATGAGCTCTATCAGATCGACCAAGTTAATTGGGGCTTATACCAAATTCTAATTTTGTTTATCTATTAGATCTAGGCTTGGGAAGATTAGATTTTCCCTGATCAAACTCCCAAATTTCCCTTAAAAAGCTGGTATTGAATAATAAACTTTACGCTTTTTTCCCTTTTTGCAATTTTAAGTTAAAATTGATTTATTTTTTTTAATAATTTCTTATACAGACTTAGTATCTGGAAAAGACTTCTTAATCAAGAGAAGCAAAAATAAGCAATCCAACACCCTGGAACTTTGGGTTCCCTCACCTCATAAATATTAAGGAATATGAGGTATTACACCTTTGGTCCCGACAGAGACCATCCAGGAAGATCCAGAAGTCTGTATGACTTGTCAAACCCAGATTGGGCTTTTCCTCAGTACTAACATTCAGTCGTGGCTCCATCAAGTCCATTTAATGTCATTAGCGTTGATGTGGTTGGCACTTTGTCCACAGGGTTACATGTCCATAGTAATCATATTGGCTGTGGACTACTTGCTAATGGTCAAATCTATCTTTGTTCAAGCTGCCACCACGTAAAGCCATGGACCTATTCATTGTTTGATCCATTTTCGCTCAACATGAATTCCCACAAACGCTACTTTTGGATAATGAGCAAAATTTATTCATAGATAGTGTCATGGCTACATGACATAATTGAGGGGCAGACTGTAAGGACAAGGCTGGACGTCAGGAGGCCAAAAAGGTCAAGCTGTAAGGCCTTCCTGATTTTAAAACATACCCTGGATTAACGCTAGGTATGGGTGTGATCTGCCCAGGTTTGTCCAGGAGATTTGCTTAATGCTCAGCCTGGCATTACAGCTTAGGCGTTAAAACTCACTAGATAAGTTTTTAACTCAGATGGTTCATTACAGTTACTTGTGAACAGAGATGAAAACCAGTTCCATTTATAATATTGCAAAGTTGTGAAGAGTCAATTTGCAATCAATAACTTGAGTTTGGACAGTCTCAAGTCACAGGAATCTGGATAATGGTAGCGTGCACCTATTGGTTTGCTTAGGCTTACCACCACTTCTGCCAATCATCAGCTCTCACCCAGTGTTTAATTATGGTTCTGAAAGACCAAATTTCATCATTGATTGTCTGGTTTATTAAAGACCCCATTTGTTTTAGTACTTTGTGTGCATGCTTTAGCTTTGTTTGCCGACCTCACCCAGGTCCAATTTAGTCAAATGTGTGCCCTCCTTGTTTGGGGCTTTCTGTGCACCGTCATTCTGGATGATGCTTTGCTTACCTTTTATTCAGTGGTGGTTTCTGTAGCAGAAGGGTGGTTCCTCATTCCCCACCTTGACTGGAACTGAAACGTTACAGATGCCAGGATTCCTGCTCAAATCCAAAATCTTAATGAAGTAGATGACAGGAATCAAACCCAAACTTTCAAAATTCTAGGGGATATCCCTGACAAAAAACACCTCCTTGTTACATTGGAGACAATCCCTAAATAATTTGGTCATCCACTAATCGCCCAAACCCACCTAATATTGGGGTTCAAACCCAATCTATGCGGCAAGCGAATCTCAATTAGTAAATGTGAAGTAGATCTTGGCTAAGTATTCATGAATATTGGCTGAGAAACTTGCATGATTTTCCCTTATATTGTGAAAACTAAACTAATAAACTTTACTTTTTTCTTTTCACCTTTTTTAAGTTAAAATTGGTACAATTTATTTTGGAATTACCTCACTAGATTTAAGTATCTGGTATAAGACTTCTTAACCAAAAGAAACACAAAAGATATTATCCAGCACCCTTAAGCTTTAAGTCCTGGCCTAAAATTATCAAGGTATAAGTGGTTAAACATCCATGATCCTGAAAAAACTGGTGAACCCTGCCAGGTCCACCCTGAGTTCACAGTGAAATATAAAATAAACAATAAAATTGAACAATAAAAAAATGACGTCTGATCTCGTTTTAGATCAAGAATGCCTTATCCTCTTGACTAAAGTACCCGCTATAATGTGTAGGATGGAGCAACAATTATTGCCCCTAAGCAAAACCAAATTGAACTGTGAGATGCAACTACTGAGCTCAAAATTGAAATTTGGCAGTTATCCCCTTTCGTTGCCACCAAATTGGCCCTTTGTGCCGCCCATGATTGGGTAGACTCAATAATTGAGGATATTAACATTTTACAAAATAAAGTGGACGGTCTCCACCTCATGTATCTCCCAGTGCTAGCAGTTCTTCTTCAGGGGAAAACACACCCCTGATGTCAATTCACATAATTTGACCATAAACATCCCAGTGGCATGTTCAAACCATCATTTAAAGAGAAGTACGTCCCAGGTGAAGCAAGTATTTTCTCTTTTCCATTTTGTTATGAAAATGACATGGAGGTAGTTTACTAACACCCAACGGCTTAAACATCTAACCAACTGTCTTAGTCACATAGCTCAAGAAATTATAATAACTCATCTAATATATCGTGAGAATTAGGATGACGCCAAAACTGCTCTGCTTTGGGAATTTTGGAGCGACCTAACTTTATCCAAACAAAAGAAATTTTATGGACATAAACCTTAAGCGGGAGAAACCAGCACTGAGTTTTCTCACCGTTTTTATCTCAAGGCTCAAATATTGATCGCCAGAAAATGTCTTATTTTTGATGATGCTATCACTGCTTCATTTTTGGGGTTTAAAATATGCCTGACATTATTCTTCATCTTAAAGAGGTGAATTCAAACTGGACGTCTCTTCTCCATATTAAATAAGCCATTTTGGAGATTCTGATTTGACCTTCTCAAACCTAATGGGCCACCGTTTTAGTGATAATAATAAGCCTCAGCTACAAGTGCTAGTGGTTACACTCCAAGTCACCTGCCCCTTAATTATCCTGCACTTTTTGCAAGAGAAACAACCATACTGTGGACACTTGTTGCATCTTTCTAAATAGGTCAACAAAAGATAAGTCAGTATAAGGCAGGAGGTTCCCTATGCTGATGACAAACAAGTGCCTCAAGACCCTTATACTAGCTCAAATCCTATGCCCAGCACCTCAGAATGCTTTGTGTTAGTAGCATCTGCAGAAGTTGATGTGCCCCTTTCTATCCAAAAGAATAAAAATCTTCAGCTTTCTTATTTTTATATTGGGCAGCTACCCAAACAAAATCTAGAGGTCAGCTTTTCTATAGAAAGCCATGTGTTGACAGATAAAATCTATAAAAGCATTGTGCAGCCCCATGCTTGGCCACAGCAAAGTCCTTGCTTTCTTCGATACAATTCCCCCACAAAAATTTACTAGCCATTAATCCTCAGTTTGGATCTTTGATGGTTTGTTAGAGGTAGTTGTTTATAAGGCTTAAGTCTTAGCGATAAATGATACTGGCTCACCAGTTAACATTATATCCTCCCAACTTATCCAGAAGCTAAAAATGGCTTCAGACTTGATTCATGATGCAAAAGATGGGACCGCTGATGGTTGAACTAAAGCAATTGGGGCGTATTCCGCCTTACTTCTCAATTCAGAAAGCTTTAATTACTGCCCCCTCTATTGCATTGGAAAAAATAGTTACAAGTTGCCTAATGGGGTCTAACTGATGTGGGAGTCTAACTGCATCATCAACCACAAAGCAAAATACCTGTCCCTATTAGGGTATCAGATTCTGTTTATACTGAACTCTAAGTCAAAAGTAAAGGAGCCCCAAAAAACGAACCTGCCACCTTGAATATCTGTCCTCCTTTTGTAAAGTTGAGTATCAAGTCATAAAAGGGAAAACTAAGTTACCTACTGAGTCTGTGGACGCTGAAGATGGGATCCCTCTGTATGCCCTCAATCCTATGAATATCGTCTATCTCACAAGTGATTGTAGATACAGGGATCATAATTCACATCCCTCCTAATCAAGTTTTAGAGCTTAGTGGCCACCCAAACCCTTCAATAAAAGGAGCTTTGACCTGTCCAGAGATTTTGGAACTGCTTATAGAAAATCTATACTATTTATTTTTTCAAGGCAAGCTGGCCAGGGGACAGACATTACCAAAATAGAGAAAGAAAGTATCAACGTGAAACCTGAGCAGGGTCAACTCTGTCATAGGAAGCTTTTCCACCTTCAGATCAGGACTCAGGTTTTTCTGGTTATGTCAAGGGTAAGCTTTTCGTGTTATCAGACTACTAACCGTCAATAGCTTCCTTCAGCTGTCATCCCAATCGATGTTCAAAGGGTGGGAATCAAACCCACAACCATCAGGTTGGTAGCCATACGTCCTAACAACTCGCCTTCCACCCCTGAAAATCTATATCTATATTATTGGGGATCTAAGATATAAAACCCTCATAGTCCACCAATATGCCCTATTGCTTACATAAAACTATTCCCATTGAAATTATTTCCAATGTGAGTTTTTAGCTCTTTACAAGATTTAGGGTTTGCTCCCATACCCACATTATCTTTAGTTGACAGTAGATTAATACAATATCACCCTTAACAAGCGCCAGAACGTTGAAGACCTCCTGAAGGAGTAATGTGATATTTTTCCCCAGAGCCAAGTGATTATGGAAAAATGTCCAAGGTAATCAACCAAATTGAGACTGAGGCACACCCTTTATTCAAATTTTGGCCATACAGGAAATCTAAATTTAAAGAAGCTCAGTGGCCCTAGAGCTACGGCAACTGTTGGAAGCTGGGTTACTCGTGCCTTCTAAAAGCTCATGGGCTTACCCACTTTTATTAATTTGGAAAAGGATGGTGGCCACCATGTTGTCATAGATTATCACTGACACAATTAAATCACAAGAAAAGACATCTATCCCGTGCAGCGTATAGATGACTCCTTACACTTGATGTCAGGTTCTACTATTTTTTGGTTGTAAATCTCGCTAGTGGGTACTGGCAAGTAGATTTATCACAAGAGGATTAGGCGAAATGCGCTCTAGTCACAAGTGAAGGACTATTTGAGCCCACACAAATGCCTCAGAGGTTATGTAACGCCCCAGCTACTTTCCAACGCGCTATGGACGGACTATTAGGCGATTTAAAATGCTCATGAGTACTAGTTTATCTTGATAATATTACTGTTTTTTCAAGAACCTTTACCAAACATATAAATCATCTTGGTCAAGATTTCCAGCGGTTATGACAAGCTTTGCTGAAATTTAAAGCCGTCAAAATGTACTTCTTTCAGAATAAAATGGATTTCTTAGGCCATAAGGTAGGGAAAGCTGGAATATCCTTAATGGACAACAAGGTCCTGGCCATTTCCAAAATGTCCCCTCTAGTTTCCTATGAGAAGTACAAGTTTTTTGGATGGTGGGATATTTTCGCCAGTCTATTCCCACTTTGCCAACACCTCTGAGCCTCTAGTATTTAATGAAGAATGGGATACCCTTTTAGTGGAAAAAAGAGCAGCAGCAAGACTTTGCCCTGCTACGCACCTCTCTCTCATTCACCTTTACTTATTCATCCTGATTTCACTAAAACCTTTCTCCTCTTCACCAATTCTAGTAATATAGACATCAGAGCCATACTATCTTAGCATGAAAAAACTTAGTGGACCATCCTATTATCTACTATAGAAAAACTTTAACCAGAGCCAAACACAACTATAGCGTTACAGAACGTGAATGCTTGGTGTACTACTAGCTATTAAGCATTTACAACCTTATTTATATGGGAAAATTTTAACCATAATCACCAATGATGCTTCCTTGCGATTGCTATAGCAATTTTAGAACAACGATGGGTGGTTAGCCCGCTGGGTGTTATAACTTCAAAACTGCAATTTTCCATTAGTAATCGACCAGGGCCAATACATTAAAATGTGGATTGCCTATACTGGATTCCCATAATAACTTTAAATGACCCTGAAGAGAATTGACTCTATGACCTCTTAAAAGAATTAAATTCATGGAAAGATGAACTCCCCGACCTTTATAAAGAAATAGCTACAAGAATGGAGAATCTACAATTTAAATATGGTACTATACAAACTTGTAGATCAAAAATGGTTGGCCTGAATACGCCCAATAGTGAGAACTGACATCCTATTAGAGGGACATCAGCAAGTCAGTCTTGGGGAATTTGTAAAACTTACCATTGTCCCAAGACTCAATGCTACTGTAAAGAAATGCTTGTCTTGATCAAAGATGTCCTAGAGTCCTGTCTGATATGTAAAAGCCAAGTCAGACCAAATCCCAAAGCTCACCATCCAGTGGTTGCACCCTACAATCCCTTCCATAATATTAGCATTGATGTTGTGGGACCCCTCCCTCAAGCCTCTAATGGTCATCAGTTCCTCCTTCTAGCCGTGGATCATTTACCTAGGGTGATTGAAGCTGTATTGCTACCCTCTTCTTCAACAAAAGCTACCACCACCTTCTTATATAATTGGATTATCACCCAGAATGGGTGCCCTAACGTAATTCTCTCTGATAATGGGCAAAATTTCCGATTGTTGCTAGTGAATGACCTGGCCAAAATTATGGGATCCACCCAGGTATTTTCCACTCCCTACCATCCTGTAACCATAGGAATGGTAGAGCGGGTGAATGGTACTTTAACTGCCACTCTCCAGAAACTAACCAATACTGAACCCTTTCATTGGCCCCAATATTTACCTAGTGCAATTCTGGCCTATAGAATAAGCTACTAACAAATAGTTAATATATCACTCTTACAAGCATTGTATGGAAGAAATCCCCAGTTGCTTTCCAAAGTGCAGGCCATTCTAGATCAAGCTTCTCCTGATGCCCTGAAGTTACTATGCAAAGCATTTCTAATGAAATTATCTAACTCCAGGCTCTGGCTTCTGAGAACTTATCTGCTACTACACTCAGAGAAACTACTTAATTTAATGATAAGCATGAGCCCCTGAACACTTTCCAACCTGGGGATCTAGTTCTTTTTTACCATCATTGGCATGGAGGTCAAAACAAAAAGTTGGAACCAGCTGATCATGGTCCTATAAAGTCATTATTAGTTGGGGCAACAAACACTCAATGGTGGAGGTTGTTCAGGGTACCATGGTAAAAATGGGTACACAGTCAATTCCTCCGGCAATCTACCCCCTGCCACAAGATCTATCAGAAAGTGTTGTTGGTATTCCCGCCCAAATTAAAGATATGGACGAGGCAGATGATGGGAATTGAACCTAACCCATCGAAATTTTAGGGGATAATCCCTGGAAAAATCACCATCTTTCTGCATCAGGGATAATCCCCAATTAATGCAATTAATCACTAATCGCCCAAAACCACCCAATATTGGGGTTCAAACCTGATTTATGCGGCAAGCAAATCCCAATTAGTAAACGTGAAGTAAATATTGGCTTAGCATGCTTGAAGATTAGCTGAGACACTTGCCTGAATTTCCAATATTTTGCAAACTAACCTAATAAACTTTACTTTCTTCTTTTCTCTTTTTTTAAGTTAAAATTGGCCTATTTATTTTAAATTACCTCACCAGAACTATGTATCTGGTATTATACTTCTAACCAAAAGAAGCACAAAAGGTATTATCCAGAACCCTCAAGATTCAGGTTCTGGCATAAAATTAACCAGGGTATATGTGGTTAAACACCCGTGATCTCAACAACAGACATACTCTTAACATTAGATGACCAACCTTATTTTGGGTCTTGCCAAAACATACTCTGAGTGGAAGGTCTCTGTAGTTGTATTTAAGCTCTTTGGTTGTGCACTGTGGTTGGGACGCTATTTTCCACGATGGTCTCATTCTCATTGGCAGTAGCCAGCTAGGCGTTTCTTTTTTTCTGCATGCGGTGTTACTTCCACCCTTTTGGCAAGTTCATGGTGAGTATGAACCATTCAAAACCCAGTTGCTTGAGTTATCAATTTTCCCACCACTTCTTCTTGTTATAACAAAATCAGCCCTGACTCCCATCCTCCAGGAGTTGGGTGGCTTCGTCAGCTTCTACTTTGTGCACCTGCCTGGGTCTTTTACATTTATAAATTTGTGAAGTTGGTGCCTGAGAGTATGGAGAGTGTGAAGCATCCCTTGGTGGCAGGGCACCCACGTGCCACTGCTTTCAAACTCTCCCATGGGTCATTTGTGCACCTTGGTGTTGAGCGTGTTGTGTGCCCATCTTTTTATGAATTTCCCTATGTTTCAGTCTTACCTGTGTCTGTTATGTCCCAAACGTCATTTTTCGTGCTGCTTTATATGCCCCTGTAATGGACATTTGAGTGAGTCAAGCGTTACTCAATGGCTTCAATCATCTGATCGAAGCTTTTTGGGACAATTTCCCCACCTCATCCTGGAAGAAGCCAGGTAATTTTTCCATCATTGTTTCACCTGGGGAGGTCCCTATAAATACTTCCTCCAGAAAAATCATGCGTGGCTCTAAAGAATGGTATTTTATTCTTACATTCTTTTGTTTTTGGCGGAATTCAAAGTCAAGCAGGGGTCCAGCCTCATAGTTAAATTATATGTCTCAGTTTATTCCGTCATGATGATGTCACCCGTTGCTGACCCTATAAATATGCCGCTTGAGACTAATGTTTTCCCCTTAAATGTGGAAGAGCTCCCCATTGATTCCTTCTTTTATTTTTGGCATTATTTGAGGTTCCAAAAGGGAATAGTCCAAAATAATCAAAAAAAACTTAATTAAAATGAATTTTCTCTGCACAGCATTTGGATGGTGCAAGCAGGGTCATAAATGAAGGTCCTAGGGGTGATAGCATTAGATAACAATGTACCATTGTCCATTGAGTCTGACATGGTGTTGTTAACGCCCAAAAACGCGTTTATAACGGTTATGAATAAAACAAGCCAATAATCATCTCTTATGGATCTATTATGAACCCATCACTGTATACCAGATCACCCCAGAAAACCTGCGCTTGACCTTTACCATGCTTCTCAGAACACAGAAGGTGGAATTAAAGTTATTATTACAATACAAAAAATATTATGCCATTGCTGAAGATATGGTAGGATATGTGACCTTAGTAATAATAGTCAACTATCCCTCTCCAATCTATTATGCAAAAGCTTATCCTGGAGGCATGCTTATGCCTGATGAAGACTTTTCTGGTGAAGTATTATCATTGTCTGCTATGATTAAAGATAATTTCTATTTTTTGCTAACTGCTAACCTTTCATCCCCTTTAGGGAAAATCAGCACAATGATTTTCGTGGATACAAGAACCTCTGAGAATTTTACTGATCAAGTCCTATCTGACTATCTTGAGTTGAGTTACTTTCCTGGTGGTATGGTTAGGGGAGGGGCCTCCCAAGGTATTCCCATGATGAAGGTTCTAGAGTTAGTGGAT